CAGTTGAACTAGACCAAGAAAAGCTGAAAACAGGTTGTGTGTGTGTGTGAGAGAGAGAGAGAGAGAGAGATTAGGCCTAGATTCTGTTGAGCTGCTCCAAATCTGAAATCAAGGCTTTCGAGTAGATTTGGATAATACAGTTTCTATCCTTCTATACAATTGTTAATATTTATTTTATTTATTACATTTGATTTATTAGGCTGCCCTTCCCTGCAAGCAGGACTCACGTCGGCTTACATCAGAAGACAAATACAATAAGTAATAAAATTAAGAACAACTTTAAAACACTTAAAGGCATCAACAATATATCAACATATTATCCAAGATGGCGGGGGGGGATTCAGAATCCACCAGCCCCTTAAGGTGGAGGGGATGTGGAGGAGTAGGGGGGAGTGGCCCGTTATGGATTAGAAACCTCCTGTCTTGAAGAAAGTCATAACGACTATTTGTGATGTGCGCTGGATGCCTCATTAAATAGATCAGTGCATATTGTAATGACAGGATAGTTTTACAGAAACTCCTCCGGGGAGAAGGTGATGGCGAGTCACATTAATGCTCCATGCTGTTCTTTGATACTGAGCAAGTCCCTCATGTTGCTCGCTCTGAGTCAGCGTAGGAGGAAGCTGAGCCAGCAGAAAAGTTCTGACATGCATTTATAATCACTGTGCTGAATTCAGCCTGCATTTCTTTTTGCATCTCAGCTTATATACTAAATCGTATACATTCAGGAATGTCCATGGTCTGGAAGTTAGCAGAGGTGCATTGAGAGAAGTCACCGAGGAAGTGGAAGCACATGGGCTGGGAAGGCATTCAATGTTCACAAGGTGGCTTTGGATCAGTCACTTTCTCACTGCTGAACCTCAGGGTTGGCTCAAGGGTCTCCATGCCCTGGAAAAATGACACATTGGATGCCATCAGCCCTTGCCACCCCTCTGCAACAGGGCACAGGCAGCAAAAAGTTGGTGATCCTGTTAAAGACAAGAGGGGTGGTGTGGTCAAAGCGATGGCTCAGAAGGATGCAGCGAGTCATGGGAGAGATGCAGAGGGTCACATGTTATCCTGGGCTTTCACTTTACCATAACTCTGTTCACATGCTAAAGTGAATGCATGTACCTCCTGTCTGTACAGGTGCTAGGGTTGCCAGGTCTTACCTGACTGCTGGTGGAGGGGAGGTCCAGAATTCTCCCAGGAGTCTTCTCGCAACGTGAGCACTGCAATAATGCTACCCAGAGGTGACATCATCATGGAGGGCACATCAGGCGGGACGCTCTAGCATTTGGGCAAAAAACTTTATGGTCACAATACAGTTTTTGCCCAAATGCTAGAGCGTCTCCTGCATTACGTCATCGCACCAGGCACATCGGGCAGACGGGCAGCTTTGGAGGGCCCGAAATCAGGGGAACCCCACCCCCATCGGGGGGATGGCAACCCTAACATGTGTACATCTCTTGGTAAGAAAGAGCCAATGTATGCTCACTTTATGAACCAGGGATCAGTACCTGGATAAACCTGGTGTTTGTATCACACAGTGAGCTATACACATATTGACTGTAACATGGGGATTACTCAAGGCACATACAAAGAACTTGTATGTAACTTACGAACAAGGCTACAGTTTTTCCAGGAGGGGTGCCGTGCAATGCCCTTCCATGGCAAAATTTGGACCCTCGGACTCTTCCTAAGCCGACAGACACAGAGGATGCTTTGCTCCCATTTGCTCCAGCTGCCACCTTCACAGTAGAAGAGAAAGCGTAAGAATCTGATCTCTCTTCCCTGCACTCCCCAAGCTCTGCTGAATACATGGGGCAGTTTTCCAAGGAAGGGTGCTTGAACACTTATTCATTTTAGAGCTGTCAATTGGGATCCCTGCCAGCAGTTGTTTTGGCAAATAAACATAGTAATTGCGGGGTGAGTGAAGTTTTAATTACTCAGCAATTAGCACTTCAGGATTTTAATGGCGAACATTACTCTTTCTTTTCAGGAGCAAAAGGTGTCACAGTTAGGCAGGAGAAGCAGAATATAAACAGAGAGTGGAATCTGAATTAAGGGGGACATAGGAAGAGGCAGAGGTTGGAATGCCAGCCCACCTTGCAGGGCTGTTGTGATGAATAACTCCTTATGGATGGCCACTGTGAGCTTTCTGGAGGAACGGTGGGATGCAAGTATAATAAACCAGTTGAATAAATAACTTTTCTAGTTAAGAGTGATTGCCTAGTGGCTGGAGTCAAAAGGTGAAAATAAAATAGATGAAGACAGAACCAAATATGTCATAATAGGGCTCTAGCATGGAGGAGTCTGACAAGCCTGCACAAATGCAAACACGGTTCCAGCTAGGGTTACCAACCGCCAGGTGAGGCCTGGAGTTCTCATGGAATTATAACTGCACTCTGGACTAAAGATATCAATCTGCCTTGAAGAAATGGCTGCTTCGGAGGGTAGGCTCCAGTACATTGCCTATTTGCTGAGCTCCCTCGCCTTTATAGACTCTACTCTTCCCAGGCTTCACACTCAAATCTCCAAGAATCAACCAAGCTGAAATTCCTAGAGATCCAGGGAAGAGCCTGAGACATCTTCAGGCCCCAGCTGGGGGGCTGGTAACCCTAGCTCTAACTGTGTCTGCACTGACCGGTCAGATTCCTCCAAGCTCCACCCCTCCAAGCTCCACATTTGGCCCTGTCTTCATCTAACTTACTTTCAACCTTTGGCAACCCTTGTTCCAGCAAGAGTGAATGCTGTTACTGTTATCCTGCACCACCTTGTGGTTAGAGATCATAATGCGGAGCTAAAATGGCTCCTGCTGATACAGGAGTTTGGGTTTTAAAAGAAAATGTGGCTTACCGTCCACGTATCTTACAAGGACAAAAATCAGACATGGGGTGGCAGAAGACAGCTTGATAACAAGGGGTTTGGGTAAACAGGATCTAAGTAATGTTTTGAGTATAGCAGAAGTTATGGGCTTCCTAGTCTCTAAGGCTGTAAAATTAAGCAAAAAAAGTAGGATGGGTATCAGGCTACGTTGCTGGGATCAGGGAACATCTTGGAGTGGCGGTTCCCGATGGCACTCAAGGAGGCGATGGTCCGTCCTCTCCTGAAAAAACCATCTTTGGACCCGGTTGAATTGTCCAACTATCGGCCGGTGTCCAATTTGCCCTATTTGGGCAAACTGATTGAGAGGGCGGTGACGACACAGCTACAGGGCTTTCTGGATGACGCTTCTGTCCTTGATCCATTCCAGTCCGGCTTTCACCTGGGCCACGGGACAGAGACAGTACTGGTTGCCCTTACTGACGACCTCCGGAGGCATCTGGATCGAGGAGGTGTGGCGGCACTGTTGTTGTTAGACCTGTCGGCCGCATTTGATATGGTTGACCACCAGTTGCTGTCCCACTGCCTCGCCAACGCGGGGTTACAGGGGCTCACCCTTCAATGGCTTGTCTCTTTTCTCCAAGGTTGGGGACAGAGGGTGGCGCTAGGGGAACAGCAGTCCCGGAGGTACCCGCTCGAATGCGGTGTGCCTCAGGGGGCAGTGCTTTCCCCAATGTTGTTTAACATCTACATGCACCCTCTTGCCCAGATTGCCCGGAGGCATGGGCTGGGGTGTCATCAATATGTGGATGACACCCAGCTCTCTCTGATGTCAGGTGGCCAGTCAGACTCCCACCCAGAAGATCTGAACCGGGCTTTACAGGCCGTGGCTGGGTGGCTCAGGCTGAGCCGGCTGAAACTAAACCCAGTGAAGACGGAGGTCCTGTGCTTGAATCAGGTCGGTTTGGGATTGGGGAATCCCTCTCCCGACCTTCCATGCCAGCGTCAGAAGTTAGGAGTGCTCCTGGATCCCTCCTTAACTATGGAGGCCCAGGTGGCAGCCACTTCCAAGTCGACCTTTTACCATCTTAGGCTGGCTCGGCAGTTGGTTCCCTTCCTCGACCGTGATGACCTGGCTACAGTGATCCATGCGACAGTCACCTCAAGGCTAGACTACTGTAACACTCTCTACATGGGGCTGCCTTTGTTGCAGATCCGGAAGCTGCAGCTGGTGCAGAATGTGGCGGCCAGGCTGTTGATGGGTCTCCCGAAGTGGGAGCACATCCGGCCTGGGCTGAAAGCACTGCACTGGCTGCTAATAGCATACCAGATCCATTTCAAAGTGCTGGTGCTTATGTTTAAAGCCCTATATGGCCAGGGTCCGACATACCTGAGGGACCACCTTTCCCCACATAGACTCCTAAGAGCACTTCGGTCTGGGACACAACATCGCCCGGTGATTCCAGGCCCCAGGGAGGCAAGGCTTGCTGTGATGAGGGCCAGGTCCTTCTCAGTGGCGACTCCTACCTGGTGGAATGAGCTCCTGGAGGAGATCAGGGCCCTGCGGGACCTAGTACAGTTCCACAGGGCCTGCAAGACAGAGCTCTTCTGCCAGGCTTTTATATAGGAGCCGCCACTACCACTACCACCACTACCAACTGTGTTGGCAACAAATGGAGCAAGGAGATGGCCTTATGGAAGATCTGGCCACAATACAGCGCCGGGCTGGTACTGCTGGACTGGATAGTTTAACATACTGGACACTACCTACCTCCATGAAAAACCACCTATCTCTAATGAATGATCACCTTGTTTAAATTTGAGCACTTTATTTGTAATAGTCATTGGTTTACTGTTTTTACCTTGTTTTTATGTATGGGCATATTTTGCCCTCTTGTAAGCCGCCCTGAGCCTGTTTGCGGGGAGGGTGGGGTATAAATACAAAAATAAATAAATAAATAAATAAAATTGGTAGGAACTGGGGAATGGTTTTGAAAGATTTGCTAGGCTTTACTAGAACAGGGCTCAGACCTTGTTTTGTACACTAGGCAGAAACTCAACAAGGGTAGTTTGAATTTCCAGCTCCATAATTTCTGCCTGCTGGGAAACTCTGGAAAGCACAGGAGCCCTTTGGAGGAAAAAACAAAGAGCACATTTGATTCTGACAGTGTCTTTCTCCCATGCTTCCTTCTCAGCAATGCTTTTCCCATCTGCTCAACGCGTGAAGAGGTCCTCGGCCACTCATCTCAACCCCGTCCTTCAGAAATCTCAGGAAGACGTGGACCTTCTATTCGAGGTTCAGTATGTGTGAGAAAACTTCTCGGCTCTCTCTTTCTGTCTCTGTAAAAATAATACCAGCAAATCTGGATAAGCACTGAAATGAACAACACACGTGAAAATGGGCAGGAAGCAAACAGGAAAGGCTAGTCAGGCTTTGATCCACAGACTGTATGGATCCTTCAGGGGCAGCGAAGTGAGCTCACTCCACAGTGTGAAAAACATGCATTTGTTCCTGTTCAGTCATATGTGTATCTTTAGCCTAAGATACGTGCTTCCTATTTTATGCCAATATTTATTTATTTATACCATAGTTTTCTCCCCAATGGAGAGACAAAGCAGCTTCAAACTTTGTTCACTCTGCTCTCACGTTATCCTCACACCACTCTGTGAGGTAGGTTAAGAGAGACAGTAGAGAGATAGTGACCAGACTAAGCTGATAGTGACTGGCCCAAGGTCACTCAGTGAGCTTCCGTGACATGACCTGGCTCTCCTAATGCTGTAACATAGGGATGCCAGCCTCCAGGTGGGACCTGGGGATCCCCTGGAATTACAACTCATCTCCAGATGGCAGAGAGATCAGTTTTGGAGGGTAGGCTCTCATGGCATTGTACCCCACTGAGGTCCCTGTCCTCCACAGGCTCCATCCCCAAATCTCCAGGAGTTTCCCAACATGGATCTGGCATACCTACCCCCCCCCATCCCCTGCTGAAAAAAAAGCACTTACCTCGCCCCCCCCCCCCCCCGGTTCACTAGCTGCAAAGTATTTGATTTGGCCACTTCTTGAGCAAAAACCTCTTTTTCACTTTATAGAGGAATGGCCTGGGCAGTGGGCACTATATTCTGTAGCCGATAGCACCTTCTGCGGGTCTTTCCCACAGAATTTCAGAATAAAGCGCACATGCAGAGCAACTTCTGAAAATGGTCCAAAGCAAACTTGCTTTGAAAGAAATCCCACTGTCATCAGTGGGATTGCTGAGTATATATAAGAATACATGAAAATACTTGAAGCCATCTTATACTGAATCAGACCCTAGGACCATCAAGGTTGGCCTTGTCTACTCAGATAGACAGTAGCTCCCAAGGGTCTCAGGCAGAGGTCTTCCACATCCTTACTACCAGGTCTTTTTGACCAGAGATGCTGGGGAGTGAACTTGGGACCTTCTGCATACTAAGCAGGTGCTCTACCAACTGTGCCACAGCCCCCCCCCCCACTTATAAACTTCATGTAACATCCCCTAATCTATGATTGTGCATGACTGTCACCCACCCTGAAAGCAGAACCATCAAAGCAAGAGTATCATACCAAATTAAGGTAAAGATTTCCCTTGCTTGAAAGCCAGTCGAATCAGACTCTGGGGGCGGTGTTCATCTCAGTTTCCAAGCCAAAGAGCCAGCGTTGTCCAAAGACTTCTCCGTGGTCATGTGGCCGGCATGACTAAATGCTGAGGTGCACAGAACGCTGTTACCTTCCCATCAAAGCAGTACCTATTTCTCTACTTGCAATGTCTTACTTTCGAACTGCTGGGTTGGCAGGAGAGATGTACAAATATACTTTTCTTTCTTTTTTTGCTTCTTTTAGATTTCACACATATTTGTTCCTGAGCATTTTCACCCCTTCATTTTTACTGGCTGCCTTCCATTTAGTTAATTTCTTTTGCATTTTTTTAATGCCATGTGTATTCCATTTGGATGTTATATGCCATTTGTACACTATTTATATGCAAACATGGTCATGTAATTGAAATTTGTTGTTCTGGCCAGAATCAAAGACAACTGCAGTTTCATTCTGAGAATCAAGGAAGCATATTATTATTATTTTTTTAAAAAACCCTCTAGCTTTCCAATTAAACCAGTGTTATCACAAAATCCAATAACATCCAGCATTGTGTAGTAGTCAGAAGCTTGGACTATGACTCATGGGACTTGGACTCAAATTCCTATTCCGCCGTGGTTCTCATGGGCTGACTTTGGGCCAGTCCCACTCTCTCCACCTAATCTATCTCACAGGGCTCTTGTGAGGCTAAAATAGCTGAGAAAGCCATGCACACGGCCCAGAGCTCCTTGGAGGAAGGACAAGGGGGAAAGCGATAGATTCAAAATCCAGTCCCCCCCCCCATCCCTACTAAGTAATAAGAGCATTGTCGTTTTAGCAGTCGGCCATAATAACCACAGCATATGTGCAAAGAAATGGAACTGTGCTTCCCAGGGTCTCCAGGTCCCCACTGGGGGGGTGTCAAATGCAGGTTGGGAAACTCCTGGAGATCTGGGGATGAAGCCTGGGGGAGACAGGGACCTCAGTGGGGTACAATGCCAAGAGTCCACCCTCCAAAGCACCCATTTTCTCCTGGGGAACTGATCTCTGTAGTCTGGAGGTGAGCTGTAATTCCAGGGGATCCCCAGGTCTCACCTGGAGGCTGGCATCCCAAGTTTCTGTCCCCAACCAAAAACAGCAATTTTGGTGGCAACAAACAACAGGCATGGAGAAGTTGCTCCACAGAGGCACTTCCCTTAATGTCTGCCTGATGGGCCAGCCGTTGAAGAGCAGCTCTCAGACAAGAATAGCAAGCGAGCCCTGTGAGTCACTGTATACCGACAGGCTCAGTGCAATCACCACTCCCCAATAACCAGAACCCTTTCTATCACAGAGCAACATCCTCACTAAGGAAGTGGGGAGGGGCCCTTTTGGCACTGAAAGGTCATGATTCTAAGCAAAAGGGGATCTAAGGGTGCCAAGTGCCCCTCCGTAACCACTCTCAATTTGATGGACTGGAAAACAAGCAAAATCTAACCTTAATTCTTTTGGAATTATGGCCAAGATTCAGGATTCCTCAAAACACTAAAGTCCTCATTTCCACCCTTTTAGCAGCAGCAAAGCATGTGCTTGCTTCAAATTGGAAATTACAGACGCTCCCCTCGATGCATCAGTGGTGCCAAAAGGTATGGGGATATATTTTTTTTTTTACTGGACAAGACCTCAGACTGGATGGCACAGCAAGATAGGTTACCACTACTAGTATTATGACCAAATGGTCATCATGGCTAGATGCTTTTGCTGACCCAGAAGAACACCCTTATTCATTCGCACATAGGGCTGCCAAGTCCCCCCGGGGGGCGGATAATCCCCCGCTTTGGAGGGCCGATTTCCGCCGCCACGGAATCGGGCCCCGGGGGGAACCCCACCCCGGTGTGCACGTCAGCCGGATGTGACGTGATGACGCCGGGCATGCTGGGGGCGGGGCCACAGCCATTTGAGGGGAAAACATAGAGTTTTTTCCTCAAATGGCTGTGGCCCCGCCCCCAGCGTGCCCGGCGTCATCACGCCACATTTGGCTGACGTGTATGCGGCGTGCGCACGCTTTGCGCGAGCACGCGCACTCAGGACGCCGTCCGGGAGCCCCCCGCCGCGAGGTAAAACAGACTTGGTAACCCTATTCGCACACCTTGTATCTTTACCATTAAGTAGTTGAAGGATCTCTAAAACTGGTTTGAACTCCATTTATTTTCACTTTTAATTATTTGAATAAAAGCTCAACATTGGCAGATAACTTGTAATGGCAATCCTTGATTCACCACAAACTTAATGATCACTTTGTAATTGCTTTACTAAGTACTGCATTGTATTTTATTTTAATCTTCAATCAACTGTTTAATGTTTTAAAAAAGCAAAACTGTACAAGGTGATGAGCCAGATTTCAGTCCAGTGGCTCCTTAGAGGCCAACAAGATTTTCAGGGAGATAGGTTTCTGACAGTCCAAGCTCCCTTCATCAGATATACCTTTGTTAGGTATGTCTGACAAAGAGAGATTCAACTCTCAAAAGCTTCCGATGTTTGAAAAAAGCAAAGAACATTCTGCAGGATTTGTCACACCCTGGACATTCCCTGTTTGAACTGCTGCCTTCGGGCAGAAGATATAGGACAATTAAAACAAGGACAAACAGATTAAAAAATAGTTTTTATTCGAGAGCTATTACTGCCTTAAATGCTGTATGAAATTGGAATTTGGGTGACATTAGTGGTTTTAAGTTGCTATGTGAACCTTAAGGGAGTTATGAGATAGTGGTGAATGGTTGTGTGAGTGTATATGAATATTGTTGTAGATCATCGAAATGATTGCATCTTAATTTCATTGTACTATGTACAATGACAATAAAGTATATTACTACTATTACTGTTATATTTTGAAAATCTTGCTGGTCTTTAAAGTGCTACCAAACCAAATCTAGTCCTTCTACTGTAGAACGATGCAGCTACCAACTGAAATGGTACGAGGTTCCATCACCTGACTCTGAGGCAGCCTTGTAGCCAGAATTTTTGGGTTCGTAGGGCATGGGGAAACTTTGTGGGGCAGCAGAGGAGGAGGGAGGGAGAGGGAGAGGGGTGGCTGCACACCTGCCCTGAACTCCAAGCAGCAAAATCGCTGCTTGGAGTTCATTGAAGGCGTGCAGCTGCCAATCTCCCTCCCTTCCTGCAAGATGTAAAGGAGCCTCCAGCTGATTGGCAGGCCATGTGCTCCCGCCAATCAGCTGGAGGGCCCTTTTAATGGCACAGGAGGGGAGGGAGGGGAGAGGGGCATTGGCTGTTTTGGGGCGTGCCTCACATATGAGGGGGCGGAGCCCTGAAATGCCCCACTGTAGCTACGGGCCTGCTCTGAGGCCCTAGTTTACACAAAAATAAACGAGGTGACAAATATGTGTCTAAACTGTTCTGCTTCAAGCCACAGGTGTAAACTTACACCATGGAATATTTCCCCACGAACACAGGAAACTATCACGTTTGGAAGAAGACTAGGCTAGACTCCTACTCTCTGCTCGCTGCCGTTTTCTATTGACAATGTGGAGAAGTGTTCCAGGTACTTGTCACTCTCCACTGGGATCGCCAGCATCTCAGGTCCTTGTGCCTGAGCCTCAGCTTTGGGGGCAATTGCCAAGTGGCAGGTTGAAACCTCAGGGTAGCCTACACATTGGATGGCTCCAGTCTATGCCTGCTGGCAGAAACTACTTCACATACAGGTTATAGATGGGAACCGATAATCCAGCACTGACAGCTCAACAGTCTTTTGCATTTAGCACACAGTTAATCTCCATGGTATATATCTTTTTTTTTTACTTTCGAATCTGAGCGTAAATCCCTCTCTCTCTGTTTTTGTGCTAGTTTCTAACGGAGCTGGAAATCAACAAAGATCTGAAGATCTCTGTCAAGGACCAGGAGCTGGCTTCCATGAGGGTGGCTGAGGCATTTGACACCCTTTGCAACGACGTTATCCCCAAAAGCATCACAGACATTCGCAGGCTGAATGCCAGGCTTTCGGGCTACCCTGGGATGCTTAAAAAAGAAGATTTTGAGAGGACAATACTAACCATGGTCTACACAGCATATCAGGCTGCTCAGTCCCAAGGACACCAGAAAGACACCTGGGCGGAATCCTTTGTCAGCCTCTACAAGGTCCTGAAGCACGACTTGACGTTCCCATCCAGCCAAACACCATCCTCTCAAAGGACTTTATAGATCGGAACTTCACTCTCATAGCAGTACGCATCACTTTCTTTGCGGTGTAAAAAAGAAAGTGTTTTTAAGACCCTACAGGCAGGGAGACTTTCTTTATTCTCTGGCTCCTCCTAGAGGACACCTGTAGTAAGATCTTTTCTACAAGAAAAACTGGTTGCATTCATTCCTACTAAAGCTAAAGACAGACCAGGGCCGAGTTCAGACTGGCAGCTTGCCCCGATATAGGCGCATGTGAGGAACGTTTCACAAGCAGATTAAAGGGGCCGTTCACACAGGCACATCTGTCCAGTGTTCCCCACCCGTACTCAACCCGTCTTGTAGCACTTGCCTCCCGGGTTTAAAAGATACCTGGTGAAAGTGGTAGCAAACCCTGGAGAGCCCGTTTATCCCGCTTCATTCCGCTTCCCAGAAGTGTGAATGCTAACCACTAGAAGCTGGGAACAGTCCGCGTTAATAATGTGCACCGGCTGTTCATGCTGACTGACCTCCTAGCCTCACTCTGGCACCAGGAAGGTGCAGGTGATTGCCTTGAAGAGGGGGTAGTGATGTCGCTGGATGTACCTATGGCACACAGCAGCCGGATCCTGCCCTATTTGCTGCTGCACCTAGGTGCCTAGGCATCTGCTGCAGGGAAAACGCCGCTTACAGCCGCGCCTCCGGGCCAACAGTGTGAACGCACCCTCACGCCTTCTCCTGGTATGCTCCTGCATCAGTCCGCACAGTGTGACCTGGAAAACCCGGAACAGTTTGTTCTGGCTCTTTTTTGCAATGACTCCTTCCCACTTCAAACTGCCAGTCTGAACTCAGCCAAGACTTCCCTGGTCAGCATCTATGTTTTGCCAATGGGCCACTAAGTGAAGAGTAATAAAGCAAGGCCCCAAATCAAGAAGCCTGAAGACCAGTTCCGTTGCACTAGCTGTCCCTCCTTCTCCCCCTCTTTCATGTCTATTGCCCCCATTAGAGGGGAGTGGTTGCTTTTTCCTGCAGGAAATGTTTTTCAGTAAGCGGACAACCCTGTATAAACTCATATTTTCTATCTGTTACCATTCCCGGTCAAACGAGATTCACTGGTTTTGTACTGTTTCAAAAAGTTGGGGACCTTGACAGACCGGAGATAACAGTGAGCCAAAAGAAAAAGTGTGCTCTACCTTTGACTCAAAAAGAGGCTTAGATAGCTCTATGGAGGAGAGGTCCATCAGTGGCTACTAGCCAAGATGACTAAAGAGGACCGTCACTTTCAGTGCTAGGAGGGAACATCAAGGGAAAGCCTTGGCTTATGTGCCCTCCAGTTGGCCTTCTGGAGCAACTAACTGGTTGGCCACTTTATGAAATGGGATGCTGAGTTAGATCCAGCAGGGCTCTTCTTCACTCTCAGATAGAATGAAGAGTTGTTCCAATAAAGGAACTAAGACTAAAGGAACTGGCGAAGGTGTTTCTATATTCTACGTGCATCAGGCATCACTGTTTTCTGATTAAGCTGCTCAAGTGGTTAAGATGTTGAACTGCAGGCTGGAAGGTCGGTAGTTCAGCAGTTCGAGACCCGAGTGCCGTATGATGGAGTGAGCTCCCGTCTCTGGTTCCACCTCCTGCCAACCTAGCAGTTCGAAAGCAAGAAATTGCAAGTAGATAAATAGGTACCACTTCGGTGGGAAGGTAACAGCGTTCCGTGCGCCTTGGTGTTTAGTCATGCTGGCCACAAGACCACAGAAATGTCTTTGGACAGCGCTGGCTCTTCAGCTTGGAAATGGAGATGAGCACCGCAACCCTAGAGTCGGATTCGACTGGCTTTCGAGCAAGGGAAACCTTTACCTTTAACATATTTCCCTGGTTCATGACTCTTGTTCTAAGGCATTTGTATGTACTTTAAAAATTGAGTTGTTAGTTTTCTCTGAGGAACAAAATAAAGGAGAATATTTTGGTGATAACTGTCACCCAGCAGTCAGGGCCAGTGACAGAGGGGAACTGGAGGGACAAAATTCAGGGGGCCTGAGTCAGCTGCAGGGCCCCTAGAGCCAGCATCATGCGGTTTTTATGGAATGCATTAAAAAATATATTCTAATGCAGTTCTGACTGCAACAATTAGGGGTGCAGGGAAGGCAGAGCACAGCAAAGAGTCCGGCCTTTCTGCTAGGGTTGCCAAATGGGCCCGGGGGGCAAGGAATCCCCCACTTCCGAGGCCCAATTTCTGCTGTGGCAGAATTGGGCCCCGGGGGGAACCCTGCCCCCAAAGCTGCGTTCCCGGAGGTGACGCAGCCACATTGCTGACGTTGGGGGCGTGGCTGAGCTCGTCAGGGGGGGGAAACTATATGGTTTTCCCCCCGACAAGCTCGGCCACGCCCCCAACGTCAGCAACATTGTGTGTCACTTCCGGTGATGTTGCGGCGGCGCGCACACGCATACACGAGGAGCTCCCGGACGCCAGCTCGGCTCCCCTGCTCTGAGGGGTAAGTCGAGTTGGCAACCCTACTTTCTGCAACGTTTAACACAAGGCTGAGGGGAACTGTATGCTGATTTTGCTAAACCTGTCAATCAAGCCTGCACTGGAGCAAGGGAAGACCAGCCAGGACAGGATGCAGCCTCCCAAAAAGGTCGATATGGTTTGCTCTTTCCTTTAGTTCCACCCAACTCCTGCACAGCCAGATCTTGACAAGAGGCAGCCTTTTTAGTGTGTGGTAGCAAAAAAAGAAAGGAAAAAAAGAAACTTTTGTTGTCTTTTCCTACATTTCTCTAACTCTTTTCCGCATCTCCTCCTTCATTTTGTTCTCTTCCCTTCATGATCTGCCATTCATCTAGCCCCGGTATGCATTTTTCTTCCCCCACCTTTCTTTTTCAGTCTTAATGCCTCCTCACCCATCCTGATTTGACAACTTAGAATGTATTTAATGGTAATATAGAAGCAAACCTTTGTTAATATTATGGACAGAAGGGGGAGTTACTATCTCCTCATAACCTATCAGAGTAGTAAAAGGATGCTCCCCCCCCCTTTAACATGCATGATAATAAATGTTAATCTGTCTCAGTGGTAACAAATGAGAAACAGATGTTATAATTTATTTATTTATTTACTTTATATCCCAACTTTATCCCAAGGGGAACCATTGTTCTCCGCTCCTCTGTCTTATCTTCGCAAAAACCCTGTGAGGAAGGTCAGGCTGACAGGACGTGATGGGCCCAAGTTCACCCAGCAAGCTTCCATGGCATGAGAGGGGATTCGAACCTGGATTTCCCAGATCCTAGTCTGACACCTAAACCACTACACAACCTTAGTTTCCACTGCAAATAGCATGGGGGGGGGGGGTCCAGAGATAACCTAGGCCAAAATATTGCAGTTCCTTTCATTTTGGTCCTGGAATGCCCATGTCAGGGCTATTTTGGGGCAGGAACGCACAGGAACAGAGTTCCGGCTGGCTTCCAAGTTGGCCACGCCTAGCAGGAACTCATTAGCATAATAGGCCACACCCAACAGCAGAAACTCATTAGGATTGGCTACATTAGGGGTGTGCGGCCTAACATGCAAAGGAGTTCCCGCAAAAGGTGGGTGTGGTGTGGCTGGATGAGCACACTTCTGGTAATATGGGGGTGTGGCCTAATATGCCAATGAGATGTGCTGTCATGGGTGTGGCCTAATATGCTAATGAGTTTCTGCTGTTGGGTGTGGCCTATTATGCTAATGAGTTCCTGCTGGGCTTTATCTACAAAAAGAGCCCTGCCCATGATCATCCTAAAACTCGTGGTCCAATTTTGATTTCTCAAGTTTTATTTTCTGATGAGTTATGCCTGCCACAAAGGGACAAACAGATTGACATGTGGATCCTTTTATTATTATAGATGCATGCTGATCGGGGTCATGGGGGTGGGGGATCAGATGAAATCTTTGTCTGGGGCCCGTGGTGGCTCTCAGCAGCCCTCTCAGGACCAGCTTAGCTCCAGCTTGGTTTGGATGAATGTCTGCAAAGTTTCTCCACTACAAGTAAAGCAGTGATTAAAAGGCCTGAGAAAGAATGTGAGCATGCAGACACATCCTGGGGCAGTGGCATTTCAATCTGAAACCTGGTCAGCGTTTGTTTCGGAGCTAGTGAAGGTGACAGACTGCAATAGAAGATGTAATGTTGCACTCCTCCTATGCGTGAGACAAACACAATGAATCCTGAATGAGACATGGGATTAAAAGAAAAATCATCACCAGTATGCTGATAAATTAAAAAGGCACCTTTGCAACAGAAATTTTAGGTAAACTCTTTCGCACACATATGACGGGGAGTCAGCATTTACCCTCTCAACATTACGCCGAAGGTCTAGTAACACTAATATTTATGCATATTTCCAAAAACAGTGGACTCACAGCCAGTCCAAAAGGCCCAAGCAGTGTCAATGCCCTTGCATGGCTCTGAGCCTAGAACTCTGTGTGGGTTCAGACATCTGTTCCGGCATAGTCAGAAACAACAGATCAAAGCCTCTACTAGCTGTGTAATTATACATTCCCTGGCTGCTTCCATCTAGTACTGGGCTGACATTGTATCATGGGCCAGATGAGTCTCCTAGAGAGTGGATAGGTTGATTTAGGTCACATCAGATCAACCAATCACAGAACCAGCTACAGGCTGCTGACCTTGTTTAACCTGTTAAAAAAAGGGAGAGGGACATGAACTACAATGGAGTAGGGCCAGATTCACTGTGGGTGACACAAGGGGATAATATTTTGGAGAGATGACTCAGCTACAATCATATCTGTCATCGTGTAGTACAAATCAATGTAGCAGAATGGTTGTCCTCATTAAAGGAGTCTTATGTTAAAGATATGAAGGTGCTGTCCAGACCAGTTTAGAGCTGTGGGCAGGGCTGACAGCTCTGGGTTGGGAAATACCTGGAGGTTTTGGTGGTGGATCCCAAAGAGCATGGGCTTTAGGTAGGGGAGGGACTTCAATGGGGTATAATGCCATAGAGTTCACCTTACAAAGCAGCCATTTTCTGCACATGAACTGATCTCATAGAATCATAGA